TAATAATAATAATAAAGCATTTCTGTGGAAATGGCCCACCCATTTTGTGTTGGTTTTATTTATGCAGTCTTTCTTCTTGAGAAGGAAAACAAGGAGAAGGGAATAGGTTTGTACGCTTTCTCCTCAAACTTACTCTGAACATTTTTACTATGTTCTTCTGACGAAAAGGCTCCCAGAATAGCTTGTTATAAGCAGACAGTGTATTCTTTCGGGTTGCTGATACAGAAGATGAGACATAAAAGGAAAACAGAATAGTGAGGGAAGAGGAAAAGAAACTCAGGCACTATTTGTTAAAGTCACAAAACTCTATTTTATCTACCCACTGCTCTTTCTAAGAATTTTGTGACTTTAAGAAATAGTGCTTGAGTTTCTTTTCCTCTTCCCAAGGAGAACGGCCAAAATGGCTCCTCCTTAAACTGAGCTAATGGAACGCCCCAATATCCTGTTTCTTCGGGATAGCTGGACAGAGGGAGAGGCCTGATGGACGTGGCTTGTCAGCAGTTCTGATGCTGCTCCAGCCTCCTTTCACTTGATGGAACAAGTGTTGCCACCAAAGGTGGCATCAGCTTCTCCTGTTTTGTCACCTTCAGCCACATGATGAATGAATCTGCACTGCCTCCCTCGCTGCTTGCCACATGGGGAGCTAACGCCACCAGTGTATCTCTGCTGCTGCTTGTGTTCCTTTAATGCTTGCCTTAACAAACTGCCTTTTGACTTAAACCTCTTAACCTTCATTCCAGCCAGGCTTTTAAACATGTGCATCAGTGTTAGGCTGTGTCACCCATCTCTGCTGTCTGTTTCAGACTGCTAAGTTCTCTGAGAACAGGGCACTATATACCGTTATCTTAAATTAGTTACTTTAAAGCCTCAGAGTCTTTTGGAGCGACTGGAGTGGTTGGTGCCAGTGAAGAAACCTCGGAAGATTTGGAGACAATGTCTGTTTGTCGCTATGTTTCCTCACTAAATTGATTTGCTTTCTGTGTCGCTTGCTTCCCCCCCCCCCTTGTCACTTTCTCCTCAGGCCTTATTGTCCCTGGTGGTGAGAGTCCTGAGATGGAGCCGGAAATTCTTGAAGACCCCTTGGCCCCTGGATCTGACAGCGAAGATGAAACGGCGGAGATGGAGTCTGTGGGCACAGAGCCTACCATCTGGTTTGGAACCCAAGAGGGATGGTAATTGAGAACAGTAGGGTTGAAAAGTAGGGTATGAAGGGAGGCTTTATCCCAATTCTGCATTGTTTTGTGAGGGTGGGAGTTTTTAGTCCACAATTGCTTCTCTACAATCATTGCGGATGTTTTTCCTCCTTGGCATTGTGTTAACACACACCTGAATGCTTCAGACTAGCAAACTGCTAAAACTATAGCTTTTATAGAGGTGGTCACACTTGCTGATGATCAGTTACCCAAGGGCATTTAGTTAGCAGCACCTGGCTGCTGCTTTGCCTCTTAATTCCTATGGAAGCAGGAAGGATGTACTTAGCTTTTCACACATGACTTTTCCAGTTTGACTTAATTTTTGTAAAGTAAATGGTGACACGGTGTAATACGTCAAAAGTTGTTGTTCATCTAAGGTAGTATTCACCTAATTTTCAAACCTGCTAAGGACCAAATGATTTTTTTATGATGTCCTGATACGTAAAACCATAGCATTCAAAGAGGGTGTACTTTCTTTTTCATATGACTGTATCGCTTGTCTCTTCTTTTTTTCCCATTTTTTAAAATGTGATCTTTACATTTTTTTTCCAAAGAGCACTTTAAGATACTGTTTTAGTGTACTTTCTTTTTCATATGACTGTATCTTTAAAAAAAAAAAGAGCTTGTCCCTTCTTTTTTTCCCATTTCTTAAAATGTGATCTTTACGTTTTTTTTTTCAAAGAGCACTTTAAGATACTGTTTTTAACTACATTTGAAAGAGTTGATCTTTACATTTTTTGCATCTTGCACGGAGTTTTCTACTAAGTTCTCAAGCACTTTTTTTAAAAAAAAACACATTTTGGCCAGACCCCTATTGGAGTTCACATAAAGCTGCAGCTAAATGACAAGCGGCTGAGGTCTATCCTGGTCACATGTCCAACTGAGAAGTGCTCTGGCACCTTTTCAATTACAATTAGCCAGTTTGAAATATATAGATTTTAAGGGCCTTTTGCATTCTGGGTGGAGTTTAGGTTTGAGAAATGTGAACTTATCAAGTTTACAAATACATTTCTCACATGGAAGGTAAACAGCGTTCCGTGTCTAAATCACACTGGCCATGTGACCACGGAAAGATTGTCTTCGGACAAACGCTGGCTCTATGGCTTGAAGAGCGGGATGAGCGCCGCCCCCTAAAGTCGGACACGACTGGACAAAAATTGTCAAGGGGAACCTTTACCTTTAAAAGAGTTTATCTTTACATTTTTTGCATCTTGCACAGAGTGTTCTACTAAGTTCTCAGGCACTTTTTAAAAAAATACATTTTGGCGAGACCCCTATTGGAGTTCACATAAAGGTTGTGCAACCTGCCGCAGCTAAATGACAAGGGGCTGAGGTCTATCCTGGTCACATGTCCAACTGAGAAGTGCTCTGGCACCTTTTCAATTACAATTAGCCATGGCAACTTAAGTATTATGCAAACATGAGTATGGTCCCTGCCATTGCTCATGCATTTTTTCCCCCAGTATCTGGTTGGAGGAACAGTGTACAGTATGAAATATATAGATTTTAAGGGCCTTTTGCATTCTGGGTGGAGTTTAGGTTTGAGAAATGTGAACGTATCAAGTTTACAAATACATTTCTCACATGTTCCTACGATGTTGGGGAGCCCATGGTGTAGTAGTGCCTTGTTTATTTATACACCGCATGCCCAGCGTCATTGAGAAACATACCTGGTATGTAAATCCTGGATGCCACTTGGAGTGAAATGAAAGTCGGACACGACTGGACAAAAATTGTCAAGGGGAACCTTTACCTTTAAAAGAGTTTATCTTTACATTTTTTGCATCTTGCACAGAGTGTTCTACTAAGTTCTCAGGCACTTTTTAAAAAAATACATTTTGGCGAGACCCCTATTGGAGTTCACATAAAGGTTGTGCAACCTGCCGCAGCTAAATGACAAGGGGCTGAGGTCTATCCTGGTCACATGTCCAACTGAGAAGTGCTCTGGCACCTTTTCAATTACAATTAGCCATGGCAACTTAAGTATTATGCAAACATGAGTATGGTCCCTGCCATTGCTCATGCATTTTTTCCCCCAGTATCTGGTTGGAGGAACAGTGTACAGTATGAAATATATAGATTTTAAGGGCCTTTTGCATTCTGGGTGGAGTTTAGGTTTGAGAAATGTGAACGTATCAAGTTTACAAATACATTTCTCACATGTTCCTACGATGTTGGGGAGCCCATGGTGTAGTAGTGCCTTGTTTATTTATACACCGCATGCCCAGCGTCATTGAGAAACATACCTGGTATGTAAATCCTGGATGCCACTTGGAGTGAAATGGTGTGTGTGTGTGTGTGGGGGGGAGATAAATCTTGGACTTGGTATTTCCTAAGGTGAGGCTGGGCAGGAGGATTCAAGTACATACACCCTTGGAAGCTCTCGCTTGCTTTCTCTCGCTCTCTCTTTTTCAAATTAATTTTATTAATAATCATGCACAGTAATATAATAATTAAAAAAGATAAAAACAAAAAAGATTCCAATAACATAAAACCAAAAAGAAACAAAACACAAGATGCACGATACTTGCACCATCACGTGCTCCCCTTCACCCTTAGGTTTCTCCCTGCACAGCCAGTGAGTGGGTAGCTGCCAAAGGAGGCGGGGCAAAGAAGCCCAGGCTCCTCCCCAGATTGGGAGCCGAGACTTGTGAGTGGGGCAGCCACCCAGGGCTGGGGGACGGGAACGTGTGGCATCTGTGGTGCCTCACATACAAATTGGTCCAAAGTGCTATGAAGCATTTCGTGCCAAAATCTCTACACGGGACTAATATACATATTGGTTTTCCTTTATATCTAATTCATGCCCCACCTTTTTCTGTCTTTAGTATCTATATCCACTCGTCTGAGAGTGACTGCCGACGTTGCAGGGGAAGAGTGCAGCTGAAAGATGCTGTTCACTGCATTGTGTGAGTATGTGATTCTCTGATGCTCTCTGGGTGGGAGTTGCCTATGTTCCGTTCTTGTGCTGGTCAGTTATTTCATATGTACAGTAGTGCCCCGCATGATGATAATCCGTTCCATAGAAATCGCTGTTTAGCGAAAACGTCATCTTGCGAAAACCATTTCCCCATTGGAATGCATTGAAACCAGTTTAATGCATTCCAATGGGAAAAAATTGTCGCCGTTTTGTGAAGATCACCTATAGGGAAGCCATTTTGCGAAGCGCCGATCAGCTGTTAAAATGGCTGCCCTGCGAAGCATCGGTCCCAAAAACACCCGTTTTGTGAATCGCCGATGAGTGTAAAAATCATCGTCTTGTGAGAAACGGTTTGCGAAGCAGAGACCCAAACTTCGTCCAGTGAAAATCGCCCATTGGAATCAATGTTTTGCGAATCGCTATAGCAATCGCAAAACCTCATCATCATGCGGATTCGTCATTTTGTGAGGTTGTCGTCTAGCGAGGTACCACTGTACACATAAAAATATATTCTACTCTAAGTCTAGAGATATTGGGTGGCTTTGTATGCGCTACAAAGCAGCTTAAATAACTGTGAACCAGTTCAGCAGAACAAAACAATGAATGGAATTTGAGGAACTGAAAAGTCGAGTCAAACCATCATCGCCGGGGCCAGGAAGCTGAGAGAAGAGCCATGTCTTAATAAATTGTGAAAATGAGGATAGTGTGAGTAGCAGCTAAGCCTCCAGGGAGTGGGTAGCATAGCGGAGAAGGCTCTTTCCTACCTCACCACTTCATTTACTACTCCTACATGTGGGGCACAAGAGAAGGCCACCTCACTAGATTTCCATGCCCAAGCATACAGAGAAGTGCGCTCTCAGTATGTTGAGGGTCCCAAGCTGTTTAGAGTTTCGATGACTTCACCAGCAAATTGAAGTAGAGGCATCTTGGCAGCCAGTGCTGTTTCTTTACCACTGGTGTCATGTGAATTTCATATGATATTCCAGGCAGTGATCTGGTCACCAGGCTGCAGACCTCTCTGTTCTCACTCTGTTGTTTCTGCCTCAGCCATACCCAGGGCCGTGTGGCAGCTGCATTAGGGGATGGAACTGTGGCCATTTTCCACCGGAATTCAGGTGAAGCCTTGCTCTTTCTTTTCTTCCTTTCTTCCCCACCCTTCCCATGGTTTGGACCTTCTCTCTCTTAATAAATTCCCACTTCTTTTCAGTCCGGAATTGGGACCTCTCTTCCCCTCGGCTGGCTGACCTGGGAAGGCCGCGGCGCTCCATCCGCTGTGCCATCCCTGTGCTGGACCGGCTGTGGTGTGGATATGGAAACCGGGTCTATGTGCTGGATCCTCGTATGGCTCGCATCCAGGTGAGCTTCTGGGGCCTGAGAAAGGGCGGGGGGGGCAGTTGCCGGCGACTCTGGAGTCTGAAACTCTGCAAATGACATAGTTAAGATGGCAGGAATCTCTTGGGATGCGGTGGGGAAACTAATTGGGGAAATTATATTGGCCATGCATAGTAAAACGGGAAGATCCCAAGATGCAGTAACGTGATTCACAAGGAAGCTTCTGCAATGGGAAGGGAATTTCAGCTGCATGAAGAAGATCCCAGTTTCATTCCGTGGCATCTCAAATAAGGCTGGATAAGATCCCTTCCTGAAACCCTGAAGAGCACCAGCTGGTCAGTGTGTGTAGATAATACTGAGCTAGATGAGCTAGTGGTCTGCCTTTGTGTAAGGCAACTTCTTATGTTTTTACAAGAGAGTTAAAGCCTAAAAACAGAGGTAAGCAGAATGCAGATCGGGATCCACTGCCAGATCTTGGGGTGATTTGCTGTAAATTAGCAAAAGAGTCTTATCACCCGATTGTTTCAATGAAAATAAATTTTCAGTTGTTAGGTTAGAATGTAGACATGGATTACTGCCTCTGTCCGCTGAACCACCGAATTAAAAAAAAAAAAAGAAATCAAAATGGGTTCCATAAGCCTGATGTGTCTATCCTTGCCCTGCTTTAAATGTATTATTTACTGGAGTGCAGCGGCTCAGCAGAACCCAGAGAGGATTTTCTGATTGTGTGACTGGGATCCAGCAGAACAATTTGCAGGAAGAGTTATAAGGATTGCTGAGATCCAGTATCTGGACTGTGGGAGGGAAACATGGAGTTATTGGACTGCAACTCCCATCATCCCTCATCATTGGCCATGGCTAAGGTGGATAGGAAGGTGCAGCCCAACAGCATCAGGTGAGACATTCATTCCCTAATCTGACTTAGACAAAGTGGTGTGTGTTTGGGGGGGGGGGAGAGTCACTGGACCAAGCTGTTTGTTGCAACCTGCTTTCCCTTTCTCTCAGCGCTACTTTGAGGTGACCTCACACCCAGAGAGCCAAGTGCGGCACATGGTGGCCGCCGGTCGTGGCGTCTGGGTGTCCGTTCGGCTGGAGTCCACTCTGCGCCTCCTCCATGCAGAGACTGGGCAGCCATTGCAGGAAGTGGAGCTGGGCCCCTTTGTCACTCGCACGCTTGGTGAGTGATGCGGAGGTCAAGGGCGCGGGGCTTTTATTTGTGCCGTGAAGCATCTTTGTAGGAAGAGGACAGTGGAATGCCAGGCAGTACAAATCCACTGCTCTTCCCAGGTCTGGGAAGGAGAGGCTAGAGTAAGACTTGGGCTTCAGAAGTTTCTTGGCTCAGAAGAGCAAAGAAACAGGTAATTAGGAGAGTGTCCAGACCTGGATGTCTCTGTGAGATCTAATAACAGAAAACCGAGTGGTTTTATCCTCCATACAAAAATAAAATGCATTTTAACTGTTTATGAAAGTTATGCAAATATGGTGGAAGCTTTTGACTATCAACTTGCATTAGGGAACAGGGAAAACTCAGAAAGTTCAAAAAAAAGTGTGAATTGATGTGTTGGCCATTCTGTGTGAGACTCACAGTGGCAAACGCAAAAGGTCTTTGCACTTTTGGTGGATTGCCCATTCCCTAGCTTCTCCACCAACTTGCCTGATGAAAGTCAGAAGAATGTGAAAAGCTCATACCGATTTTGCAATATTTTAGTGGTCTTAATGAAAGATATGACTCAGCCTTGCATTCTCTGGGAGCTGGCACTTCGATAATGGAACTGGCGCTTCTGATAGAGGAGCGATGACGTTGATGGCTCCTTCTGCTTCCTGGATTGCTTATCGCCGGTTACTGACTGACTTTAACCTCCTGGACATAAATAACAGAGCACCTCGTCTTGGTTCTGGTACATGACACTCCTGTCTGTTATTACTAATGAAAGCTTATTCTTGATGCTGGCTTTCTTTTCTCCCCTTCTTCCCTCTCTAGGGCCGAGCGGCCTCAGTTTAACCTTGAACGTCTCAGCGCTTGGCGCTTATGGGAAGCGGCTCTGGGTTGGAACATCTGGCGGTGCCATCCTCTCTCTGCCCTTCATTTCTGGTGAGCCTACTCATTACGGCTGTAATGGTGGCTGCAGAAGGGTACCTAGTGTGACTTTCTGTGAATTTGCTCATGTTTGTCTTTCTCGCCCCCCCCAGAATTTGCGAGAAGCTCAGAGCCTTCCACCCCTACTAGTATCCCTTACTGTGCAATGGAGCAAGCCCAGATCAGCTATCACGGGCACCGTGATGCCGTCCGCTTCTTTGTCTCTGTCCCAGGTAACCTGCAGGAAGGGTTGAGGGGGCCTCTTTCTGAGAGGAAAGGTGTTAAAAACATGTAGGAAGGATTCATTAAATCACATTCAATTAAACTAAAATCTTGGGTGGGGCCAGGCCTAGCTCAGCCTCAAAGCCTTCCTGTGGAGGCCTTTCTCCCAGGTGAGCCACATTTAGGTATCTCTACAGTGTCCATCAGATAGAACTCCAGAATGGAGAATTATGGGATCTGCAGTCCAAGAAATTTTTTAAAAACCCTCATCCCTACTGAGCACATGTATGGTCCCCAGCCACTCATCCCATTGCTCTGTTCTCTCTATGGGTATGATTCTGAATACTTAGTTGTTGGTTATTATTATCCATGTAACGAGTGCTTTGCAGTGTGCCAAAGGACTGCCCCTTGGTCCAGGGGCTCAGTCAATTGGAGCGGAGAGGCGCCCTCCCTTTTTGGCCACTGCTAGATCTATGATAGTGTTGGCTGTCTGGACAGGGCCATCATCAGTAGTCGGCAACTTGGGACACCCTCTCCCCGATGTTGTTGAAGTGCAACTCTCCGAAGCCCTAGATAGCAGAGCAGAAGGTGATCGGTGAATGGAATTGGACTCCGACAACATTTAGAGGGCAACTAGTTACCCACTGTGGCCTTATTGAGATCATAATGTTCAGGCAGCTTCATATAAAAGGGGGGGGGCAGTCCTTTAGGCAGCTGACGTCCCAGTGTGAAAAGGCACGGCTTGAATTGCGCTCAGAAGCAATGTGGCAACCAGTGTGTGTCTCCCACAGCTGGCAGAGATCGTACAAGTGAACTGGTTATAATTCCTAGCTGCCCAATTTTGAATTTGAATGAATTCTAGCTTTTCAGACCATCTTTGAGGGGCAGATCTGTAAACAATGGCTGAAGTTCAGTAGTAAGTCACAACTAGAGTAGACCCATCGGATCAGTGGTTATTGTAAGTTCCATTGATTCAGTGGACCTACTCTAGCTGTGCCTTACTACAGTGGTGCCTCGCTTAACGAGCGCACCGTTTAACGACAAATCCGCATAGCGACCCATTTTTTGAGGTCGCTAATGCAATCGCATTGCGATGTTTAGATAGGCTAAACATCGCATTGCAATCATTTCTGCACCCGGTGGCCATTTTGGAAACAGCTGATCGGCGGTTCCAAAATGGCCGCCGGGTGCAGAAAATGGCCACCCGCACCATTTTTGCGCCCTGCCCTCGCTTACCGGGCAGTGAAAATGGTGGCCGGATCCAAGATTCTTTGCTTACCAGTGAGTTTTTCCCTAATAGGAACGCATTAAACGGAGTTTAATGCGTTCCTGTGGGTTTTCCCCGCCCGGATAGCGAAGAATCCGGCTAGTGACGTTAATCCTGGAACAAATTAACGTTGCTATGCGGCGCACCACTGTACTGGATTTCAGCCAATGTATTATAGTTGTCTAAATGGGATGCTACCAGAGCACTGGCCAGCTTCACTGGTACTGGATTGTGCATTTCCAGGGTGGAAGGGGAAAGGAAGATTTGCTTGATGATTCCGTTAATGAATGCTGAGATTCTGCGATTGGGAATCTTGTGCAAAGCTTTGTCACAACAACGGCGGCTTATACAGAAGCCTGTGCTCTGATTCCTTTTGGCTTATTTTAGGATGTGTGGGTCCATCCTCTTCTGAAAGCGCCAAGGAATCACACAACCAAGAGAAGCCAAGTAAACCCTGCTGCCTGGTGCTAAGCGGAGGGGAGGGATATATCAACCTCCGGATAGGTAAGCCTCTTGCTTTGCACATTGGGGGTATACAGTGGGGTCCCTGTATGGGCGAGAATTCCACCTGATGATCCTAGAACTGGTGTAGTTGTGGTGGCTTTTTTTGATCTCATTTGGACGCTCCTTTCCTCCATCTTTAGGAGATGACACAGATGAGCACTACGGAGACCTTCTGCTCTCAAACCCTCGCCTCCGTCGAGCCGAGCGGAGCCACCTGATTGTCTGGCAGGTGGAGGCCTGAGATTGTGGTGGTGGGCACAACAATGGGTTTTGGTGGGTGTGGCTCCACTTCCACCTAGGAGGAAACAGCACAGTTTGCCAGTTGCCGGTGTCTCCTTCCCCACAACTGTCTCCCATTCTTTAACCCTCCGGGGTCTGCAGGGTTGGAGTCATGACTTCTTGCAACGTTCTCAGTCTGGTGCAGTGGGGGTGGAAAAGCTACCTGGACACCAGGATCTGTTTTGTAAATAGGGGGGGGGGGGGGGGGGAATCTTCAGTGGGTGGATCCTCTGACTTCCTTCCCCTTATAAAAAATACCCTTCATCTCCACTGCTTTCAAATTGGAGCAGTGCATTGGTGTGCAATAAACCTTCTGGATTTCCCCTAACAAAAACAAACAACCCCGGGCTGTATTTGCTCATTCTTTCCTTTGTTACCCACCAGTAACAGTGTACCTCTTACTGACTGGGGAGCTGCAAGTCAGGATGCCCGAGACTACCAGAACAGCCTAGTCCTAGTTGGGAATATTGGGGGCAGAGACCCTGTGAATTGAACCACATAAGACCAAGGATCTGGGCTCCTAGAGTGGCTTCCAAGGTCATTCGGAGCAATGACCCTCATCCGTCTTTTTGGCTTCTCTTTCTGAGTGTGATTCTCTGATGCACTTTTCATTTGGTGGATTCGGACACGGAAACGAGACCTGGGAAAAATTTGAAAGCCAGGCCTGGAATTGGCGATGTAAACAGCAGCAGCACTACTCAAAGAGACCTCAAGGGGGAGCTCTCTGGTCTCGCTGCTGAATCTGGTTTAGATGCTAAACGGGATTTGTTGATTCCTGAAGCTGTTGCGCGAACAGGATCCTGCCTGGAGCCCTGGGATGATGCCTGGGGACCCACCACGCAGTTTATTTCTCAGGGTTGCTGTTTGTTATTTGTCTGTCTCACCAACGGTGAGGGTCTCTAGCAGCATCTCAGGATCTTTTTCTATGTGACGGTTTCTCAATAAAGCTTTATCATTAACACTTACTAGTACTTATTGTCATCATTCTCATAATCATCTTTATTGATCTTGTTTGCACATGAACTTGAACTTTCTTTTTTTTTTTAGGGCAGCAGGTAAATTGTCTACGAAAAAGGATTTAAAGCTTCTGACTTTTTTTGAAGCAGACAAAGCCAAACCAGTGACTTTTTTGACTGTTGCAGAGTAAAAAGGAACATCCCTTTTGCGGGCGCTTGATTGGGTGGAACTGCGAATAAACACATGGGCACCCTTGTATTCCCATACACTTGTTTTCTCGCCCACTATTTCTCTTTCTCTCCTCCCTCATCCTCAACCCCTCATTTATGCTTGTACCCCCCTCCTGCTGAGGTCTTCATGAGCACACGAGTTGAGGAGGAAAGTTTTTAAAGCTCCCCCACCACCAGTGATCCTCACAAAATAGCCAGTGAAACAGTCAAAGCAAGAAGCACGGCTGTCCCTTCTCTTTCCTTGGAATGACAGACCAAAGAAGGCATTTCTCAGACGGAAGGTGCCTAATAGTCATGGGTCTGTTGGTTGACCTCCTGAGGTAGCCTGTTGTATAATGGCGGACCACTCTAGGATCACGAGAGCCATGTTACAGAGGTACGCTCATTTATGTGGTGCTGAGGTGAAGAAGGAGATACATTAGTGCAGTGCTTCTGAACCTTGGGTTACTCAGGTGTTTTTGAACTGCAACTCCCAGAAACCCCAGCCAGCACAGCTGGTGGGGAAGGCTTCTGGGAGTTGCAGTCCAAAAACATCTGAGTAACCCAAGGTTAAGAACCACTGCATTAGTGGAACATCAGTATATTGTGTACATTGGCAGCCTGGGAGAGGAAGGTGAAAAAGCAGTGCTCAAAATAGCGCTCCGTTTTACCACGAAAACGCATAACGACGAAGTTTTTGCGATAGCAAAAACTATCGCAAAACGATGTTTCCTATGGAGGTATTTTGCTTTGCGATGATCGGTTCCCTGCTTCAGGAACCGATTCTCGCAAAACAACGATTTTCCTACAGCTGATCTGCGATTTCAAAATGGCTGCCGGGTTAAAAAAATGGCCACCCGCTGTTTTCTGGGATGGATTCCTCGCTGCACGGGCAGCGAAAATGGCAGCGCTATGGAGGATCTTCGCTGGACGGTGAGTTTCAAGCCCATAGGAACGCATTAATCGGGTTTTAATGCGTTTCTATGGGCTTTTTAATTTCACTTTACGATGTTTTCGTTCTACAGCGATTCTGCTGGAACGAATTAACATCGTAATGCGAGGCACCACTGTATTGTAATAAATGGTTATAAAGTTACAGTAAAAGTAGTCTAACCAAAAATAATATAACCCTAACAAGTTTCTTTCTTGGTGCAATGAGTGATGTTTTCTAGCTAATTTCATAGGATGTTCCTTACACCATTTAAAGGCATTTTTAGAGTCATCTTGATGGGAATTTTAAAAAAAAACAGTTGCAGAGAGACAGTGTAATATAGTGGGCATAGCGATGGACTAGGACTCAGGAAACCGAGAAATCCTGGTCAGAACAGGATTAAGGCTTCTGGGAGTTTTAGTCCAAGAACTTCTAAGGACTCACTGCTCTATACCACATTTGCTCTTGAGGCAATCTTGAACATAACAAAAGATGAGACCTACCACAGCTTTTTTTGTGAGACTGGGGAGGCTCCCTGACTCATGCCACTACTACGTACTGCTGAATGGACAGACTACATTCTGGGGACCCAAGGGTGAGAACCTACTGGTATAGATAGAGTTTCAGGCTAGAACTCAGAGAACTGGAGTTAAAATCTCTATCTGGCCATGGAAATGCATGGGGGCAGGGAGAGGTGGCAACGGTAAAACTATTCCCATTTTAGCCAATGCTATATTTTTGGGTGTCAAACTTCTCATCTGAGTGGATAGTTCTTTCTGGCCTCTGCCTGGGGACTTTTTGTTGTTTTTATTTTTGACATCTGCAGAAATCTGTTTCTGTATGATGACTTTCAAAATTCTCCAAGTAGCAGCATATGATGTCTGGGGACATTTCAGAGTTGTCGTCCAAAAACTCAGACCTGCATGCTTTATTACACAGACATACCACTTCCTTGGACACGAATCACATAAGGTATGAAAAACGGGATATCTTGTTTCCTTTGAAAATAGTGGAAGAATCGGTCAAATAATAGCCTCGGGACATGGGGTGTGGAGGAGGGTTTAACTTAGGAAATAATGCAGAGGAAAACATTTTATCGCCGCCACCACCTTTCCATGCTATTCTATACCTCTCCATTGGCTGTTTTATGCAAGGAATTTAAAGAGACAAGCTATTGAGGACAGTGTTACCATGAAAGGCACAGTAAGTCGGGATATAAACATCCACTCCCTTGCCCACACCCAAGTGGGCTAAGCAGAAAAGGGTGTGAGGGAAATGCATGTGCATGTGCTGAATAAGCACACACCCAAAATCCAAATCAGGGTCGGGATAACAACAAACCACCCTAAAGAACCAACCAAAGAAGAAGAAGAAGAAGAGAAATGCTTTTGAAACGGGAGTGTGGCAAAGGGAAAACAAGTCTCCACCCAGAATAACGACTGAGGAAATAGGTGTCAGAATATGTTTACGTACGTACAATATTCCAAGGATGGGCAGCAGTCATAAGGCGGTTACCCCCTGGCCTCTGGGAGCATACTTGTATTCCTAGGAATGCTGCCACAACTAAGGTGGCCACATGTCGTGCAGAGGGGCCTCCTCTGTTTGAAAGGCTGTGAAAATACAGTCCTCTCTTTGAAAAGCTGCCCAGTCAGATCTGGTTTATAGGCAAAGTTTCTTATTCCTCAAAAGGAGAACCAGAAACTGGAAATGACCCATCCATAGTTAAGCACTGGATGTTAGATGGAGCAAGTAGAGAAATCAGCTGCCCACAGCCATCTTCACTATGAAGGGTTGTACTCTATTTCTATTTAAATTGCAATAATTATCTCTAAATGTGCCTGTAGAGAGAGACATTATAACCACAAATTGTACACAAATCTTTCTCTTTTGGCCTTGTTTAGAGGGTGGGAAGTAACCCTGCCACCACATCTACTTATTCATCCATATGCTTGTCATCTCTGTAGCACATAAGTTACTCACAACATTCATGTATGCTTCACGGCACGCGTAAGTGCTGTGTGCACACAGCTTGCCACCAGCTTATCCTTAGCTTGCAGTTATACTTAATTTTGCTGAATGATTTCCTAACTTCCCTGTACCCCTCTAGCTCAGTTTCAACCCCATCTACACTCTGCAGGGTTCTTTGAAGGGTTGTTGTCAGAGTTAATCTTAGGAGGCTTTGGACATTCTAAGGGCACTCTGTGATGGGATTTCATTCATTCATTCATTCATTCATTCATTCATTCATTCATTCATTCATTCATTCATTCATTGCATCTCTACCCCGCCCATCTAGTTAACTGACTATTCTGGGCAGCTTCCAACATGTATAATAAGAATATAAAATATAACAAGATTTAAACATCAGTAATAGAGTTATTCAAGATGGAAAAAATAGGAAAAAATAAATAAAATAATAGCTGAGGGGAAGGCCTGCCTATACATCCAAGTTTTCAATTGGTTTTTAAAGATGCCCAGCGAAGAGGCCACACGGATCTCCAGAGGAAGATTATTCCAGAAGTGAGGAGCTACCACCAAGAAGGCCCGGTTTCTCGTTTTTTCCCTCCGGACCTTCCTCGATGTCAGGCTCCTCAGCCTCACCTCCTGACTGGAGGTCTAATTGCCACAGTCTAATAGCCAGAATTATTGGAAGGAAACATTTGGAACCTGGGTTTTCCGGTGGAGAGATTACCTTTGAAAGCCCATTGTTTTCCTGTTAAAAAAAAGAGTTCCACCCACCTTTTTGGTTTGAAACATTCAGTATTAAACCCCCTTTGAGCCCTGAAGGTTTACTGGACAATCTTGTATTAGTAGCACTCACTTAGCCTAAACTATTGCATCTCACAGGACTGTTGTGTGGATAAATCAGAGAGAAGAGCTGGAGTACCTAACCCTGGAAAGACACATGGGATATAAATATAACAGATTAAAAATGAAAGGGGAAAAGAATAGAAAGATAGTGCAGTAGGACAGTAGCATGCCATGCCTTGAGATTTTCAGGGCAGCAGGCTTTTAATTGGGCTTGCTATGGTTGTGTAACGAGAACTCTTGTGACGTATGAAGATTTATTTATTTATTTATTTATTTATTTATTTATTTATTTATTTATTTATTTATTTATTTATATCCCGCCTATCTGGTCGGGTCAGGACCACAAGATGGGACCTTGCTCCCTAACTTTGCTCCAAATGGCATGGTAGGTCCATCACTGGTCCACCAAAAAGCCAGAAGTGAAGAGAGGAGATGTGGGGAGAGGGCTGGTTGCCCTGGGGCATGGCCCCATCCTTTTGAGCAGGGTGTGTGCACCCCCCGCCTCCCTATCGCACTGAACCACTACTGAGCCCTGACACCGGCTGTAAACAGGTGGAAATCAGCAGCAAGGCTTTAAAATAATCTCGTACGTACATTTAGAACTCAGACAATTTCCTCCTCCAGAACTGCTTGCCCTGAAATGTGTAGACAGCCATTTCCTGAGACCAGCTCTTACCCCCCCCCCCGCGCCTTTATCCCCCAAGATGCTGCTGAAGGTTAAGTTATAGTGACTCTGGAAATGTCGGCAACTTGAGTGGCATATAGAAAGAAAGAAAGAATCTTCCATACAATGGGAGCACAGGTACCAAGCAAGCAGCTTTGGGAAGCCAATCTATACATGCCTTTCTCAAGGTAGAATGAACCGCCATGCCTGTAGTAGGCCTTGCTATTTGGCAGCTATCTGCAGCAGAGTCAAGTGTCAAAGGAACCAACTTCTAATTGTCTAAAAACCCACTCCTTCCCCACCTCAGTTTTACTACCAGGAGTTTCCTGGCCCTGCCTCTGCTAGTTCAGATGTCTTAGCCTTTCTGTCCCACTCTCTGGCTCTCTGTCCTTCCCAGTTCTTGGGAGAGGCTCTGCTTCCCAGCCAGTTTCCTGCCCCCCCATCTCCTTTTCCTGCCCCACCTCCTGTGTGTGAATGACCAGAGGCACGGGAAATCCGTGAACAGTCATTGCTGGACTTAAGTCACAGCACACATAAGAACGGCATTGCCCAGAGAGAGAGAGAGGAGGGAGGGACAAAGAGAGAGAGAGAGAAAACAACGTAAGATGGAGCCTGGCCTTTGGGATGCATGAGAGTTGGGTACCGTACAGAGACCGGCTTGACCAGGACACCATTTGGAACAGGTAATCATAATGGCCTCATGGTTGGGTGCAGGCACCCAAAGTTCGAAGGGCTAGATTGAAAAAATTGAAAGATACAGAGGGAGCCCAGGATGAAATTAGTGGAGTAAATATTTTGTATGTACTGCATGTCAAAGACAACTCAAGGAGCTTCCTTTTTTACCCAGTGCTTCTGCCATGCTAACTTCCTGTCGGGAACTAGAGCATGGAAAAGTTACCCCTTTGGGCTACAAATCTCAGAATCCTCCAGCCAGTAACTTATACCAGGTAGGTCAGAAATCTTGGGTGCTTGTCTTCCTGCTTCCTCTCATGCTAACCAAGTTCTTAGGCCCCATTCCAAATAACCCATTCCTTAAGCCGCCCTGCCTTCTCTCCATTCTCTGTTGCCTTTCCAAATAATTAGAGAGAGCCTGAAAGCTGGTAGTGAGGAAAGGGACAGGGGCCTTAAATACCTTCTGGGGGGTGGGTGGAGGTGGAAACAGAATCAGCTCTAGCCCTACTCTTAGGCAAGATGTGCCACCTTGCTCCAAGATGCACCTGGAGTAGGATATTACAAAGCAGTTCATTGTGAATGATGTTTTATTTTTTTTTTGCCCCTGGTGTGTATGTATATAGAGGCAAGGTGGAGCAGAGTTCTTCTGCCTCAGACGCCAGATTTTTCAATCATCTCCACTTGACTCTAAATGACGGTGCCAGAAACCAGATCTTCAGTTCACTTTGCTAAAGGAATATTGTTTTTTGGAGAAATGAAAAGAAGCCAGCATCAGAGAGTCACGAGAATTCCACATTTTGGAGAGGATTCTAATGCTTATGACAAAAGAGAGGAATATGGAGAATTGTTTCATTTTCTATCCCCTCCTCCAGTTCTGAGAGGCAGCTTAGGGGGCTAATTCTTGTGGGGCGAGGCTCCAGCTATCCTCTCAACCCACCGGCTTCTTATCTCATCTTTTTCCTGTTGACGTAATAGTTTGATTCTGACTCACCCCCTTGTGGCCATTCAAGCCTTAGTAGACTTGTCTTTTTGTTGTGGTGTGAAATCCACCAGCCTTGACTTCCAAGAAAGGAGAAAGATCAAGAAGGCTGAGGAGAATCAACTGAAGAGTTGCCACTGCTGTCCCTTGCCTTCTATTGCCTGAGACAAATGTCTCATTCTATCTAATGGTAGGGCCAGTCTTGTACAACTGTACAGATGGAAGGTTGGTGATATGAGAAAATTCATCACATATTTATAATTATATCCCAGATGTATTTATTTTGCCAATTTGTAGCCTGTGCGTGGCTTTGTTTTATCAAAGTGGCTTACAGCATAGTTGAAACAGTAAATGAAAAGCATACAATGGATTTTTTTTTTAAAAATCTCAATTTAAGCTACCATAATGACAATACACAGCTGGCAACAGCACCAATAGAACAGAGTAGACATCATGTTAAAAGCTTGCTGGAGCAAGACAAGTCTGAAATAAAACCTTTACTAACTTAAACCTAGCAAAGGAACCTGAAAGGCGAAGGTTAAGTGTGGCTCCATAATCTAGGTAACATCAACCACTATCTTTCAAGAAGCTTCCTCTAAATGCTGTGGAAATCACTGGAGACACCTGTAGGCAATCCTGGGGGGGGGGGATTGCCTGTCGAGAACTAGTCTTTTATGTTTCCTTTTCTTCCATTCTAAAGTTATAGGTCCCTGTGACCATGTTCTCGGATGAGCGGAAAGAGGGGAGCCCTCGCTTTGGAAAGCTTCACTTTCCTGTTGGCCTTTGGATCAACTCTCCGAAGAAGCATTTTGCCAAGTTGGGGCGAAGGTGGCCAAGCGTGGGGTCGGTCAAGTAAGTGACTCTCTTGGCCCAAGCAGCTCGGTCTTGCTATTTGCCTGCAGAGTCCAGGGAAGTGACCTTTCGGGACCATAATAATCAGACACTTCCCGTCAACGCAACTGGGCTGGCTAAGGGATTCTGGGAGTTGTAATTAAAACAAACCAATCAAGTTTCTCAGGCTCGGTCTTTGCTACTTAGGTCTGTGTGAGCCAATATTGGAGGTTTTCCGTGGGTTGCACTTGGTGATCCATCCAGCTGTCCCCAACCATCAACTCCAGTGCCCTGATATCAGGGTTGTCTTTTTAAAAAATCATACAGAACATAACATGAAATAACATGCACATTTTGTGTGTATATTTTTCAGTGGGGAGTTCTTAGCAGCCAGGTTGCCATTAATATTGCTCCAATCAAGGGAATAATTTGCTGTGTTGTGTATTATTGATATGTTTCCTTGCTGTTGGCAACAGAGTGGTGGTGGGGAAACAGGGCTATTCTTTCTGTTTGCTTCTAGATGCCAATTCTAGTATTGCATCTTGTAAATATTTTTTAAAAATGCAAAAAGTAAAACCAAATATTACTTCCCTTGCAAAATAGGAGAATGCAGTAAAAGAAACAAACGGTCAAAATGTTCTGAATTCTCCTTAAAAAAAGACCTTGCAAAGTAACTTTTGAGTGTAACAAGTTCTTACTTACAAGTAATTAACTTAGGTGTACTCATAACATTAGTTTTTATTTGTTAACTTAAAAAGTAATTTTGTAATGATTATTAGCATTACTTATTATGCAGAAATAGTTAGTTATAGATAACTATATTACTTGTAACTTCCAGGATCAGGGAAGTATTAAATCTGCACGTTAGAAAAATGTGTAATAATTTAAGCATGGATAGAAAGCACAGAGTCTCATGAGAGATTTTTTATATCCCTAGCCTGAAGTTAGAAATTATGTCTTGCCCATCGTCACCCAAGAAGTTTTTGTGGCTGAGCATTTGATTTTAAAATGACCCTATCTGTATACAGTAGTCAGACTGGTGCAGTAGTTCAGTGGTCCCCAACCTTGGGCCTCCAGATGTTCTTGGACTTCAACTCCCAGAAATACTGGCCAGCAGAGGTGAGGAAGGCTTCTGGAAGTTGTAGTCTAAAAACATCTGGAGGCCTAGGTTTGGAGACCACTGCACTAGTTTATAGGTATCAGAGCTGCTGCCTCTTCCAACCTGTCTGTCCACTTTATAGGTCTACATCCTCAGATACAGCCAGCCGGGGCAGTGAGCCTGTGGAGATGCGCCCGACCACCAAAAACAAGGCCAGTCGGCACAAGAGGCTTTCGACTCTCTTCCAGCGAGGGGGAGCAGGAGGGCCATCTAGCGGGGGTGGAGGCCGCTGGGGCAGTGAGAAGAAACTGGCTGACTTCATTGACCCCCTGCCCGAAGACCGAGCTGAGCCCCCCTCACAGGGCGAAATACCAGGCGTCTTGAAGATCTATGGTGGCGACCTCTCCACAGGGGCCAATTACAAGAGTGTGCTGGCCACTGTGCGCTCCACTGCCCGGCAGCTGGTCCTCGAGGCCCTTGAGCGCTATGGAGTGGCCCAAGCCAATGCCGAGGAGGCCTACGTATTGTGTGACGTCGTTGGTAGTGTACATGCCACCAATGGCTCCTGGCAGGCCCAGTATCTCCGGGCCGTGGGGGATTCTGAACGGCCACTGGTCTTGCAGGACGTGTGGAAACCCAAGACGGGGTGCACCCGTCGCTTTGAAATCCGGCGGCGATGTGACGTGGAAAGAATGGCAGATGGCGAGGATGAGGATGGAAATGGTAAGTGCACACGTGAGGGATGACGGGCGCTGAATGGCTCCTTCCTTGGTGGCCCAACAGTACTAGGTACTAACTTTCCATGACAAAGTCTTCGTATAGGTTTTCGTTTTCTTCTGAATCTTGACTTTCTTTTTTGAAGAACATTTCTGGACTTTTGAGTTGTGAAATAAAGCTGCCAAGAGATCTATGACTGGAAAATAGGAATCTGTGACTAGAAAATAGGTGGATCATTAGAAGGCAGTCTAGCCAAGATGAATGTGGCCTAAGTAGGCTAGCTGAAACCGTGCTAAATCCAGACGCCTTCCAGCCTAAGGATTTGGAAATTAGAAATATCTTCACCTTGGCCTGACTTTGTAGCAGCCTAGTAGCTCTGTCTCTAAACTGGGGAAGGTTTATGTATGACTCTTGACTCCTCGGGTGGGATTGCGCTGTTAATGTGTGGAATTAATCTCCAAAAGATGTGATGTGTGGCCATTGTTTTAGCAGCTTGGGGTTGAGGCCTTTTCACCTCCCTGTTCCAGTAATGAGCCACCTACGGAATTAGATATCTGCATAAAAGGGCTGGACCGTCAGTGACTATTGGCTGTAAGAGGTGAAAACTGAACATTTCACAGGGCGTGCAGGTCAGATCACACAGTCAGGAAAACACATTTCCTTCCCTTACAATATAATCCCCCCAGACAATGCATGTCTTTCAGTGCTGATGTGCCAGAGACTTCAGACATGCAAACAAAACTGTGCTATCTATTAATGAGACATCAAAAGCAAATTAATTTGCCAAATGAGAACTGAAGCATGTTGTTGTTGAAATAGACCTTTTTTTCCTCTTGTGGGAGCACACCTTCTGGATAGGGCATCAGCGTCTCGTCTAATGATGTATACTTCTGAGTACCAGATTTTGGGAAGAAAGTATGGGGTGGTGGTAGAAGACTAATACTAGATGTTGGGCTGGATCACCCTTCTGTAGCTTCCTGTGGATGGATGACATAGGGGTACGGCCACACCTTATGATATCATGTGGATGCTAAGCTGAAGGATTGGATTACGGGTTTCATGGGGGTCCTGGCTTTTCCACCATTCCTTCCAAGCACAGGAAAAGAGAGAAGAGCACTATTCCCTGGGCCTTGCAGGCACTAGTTGGTAGCCCCACCACTGCTGGTTTCAGTCCTCTCTCTGCTGTAACAGGGAGGGAATACCCATTGGTTGAACCTAGTGGAGCACACCTTCGTGGCAACAGCTTCTGAGGGATGAACTTTTTGAAAGGTATGGGACTCTTGGGAAAGGCAGGCCTCCCCCGCAGATTTCTGCAGGCGGATGGAGAACTTTTGTGGGCCAGGCTTGACCTCTAGGCAAGAAGTTCTTTTCCCCTGGAGTAAGGAAAGGGTATTTTTTACCATGCCTTTCTGGTGGGAAGGCTTATGTCCCCCATACACTGCTTCTGGGCCTCCCAGTTAGATCTGACTTGTTACAGCTGGAGAGAAAATACTGATCTTTTCTGATCTTTGGTCCTGCTCAGTGGGGCAGCGATTGTAACGGAGGGCTTGCCCTGCTGAGGGCTTTCTTCATAATCTCCAAGTAGTCTTCCATTCTGGCAATGGATATCAGGCCATTAATCCAGTGATATCTCAACAGAAGCTTCAAGGTCCCTAACACTTTTGATTTAGTAAGCTGAAATAAAATACGGCAGGGAAGAAATGATCCTTTGGTGAATGGATTGGCTCTCTCCCTTATTTTAAAACCTGGAATTACAGTATCTCTGCTGGTGTTGTTCTTATGCATACAAAAGTGTTCTATAATTGTCACATAATAAGAAACTATTGCACCAGAACCCCACACAGCGTGAATACCCTTGGCTCCATTTTATTGTGGGGATGGCAGCTGTTCCCAATAATAGATGTATTCCCAGCTGCTTCAGCTGGGCAGCATACTCTGCAGAGGCTGCTGTCTGGGTGGACCAAATTCCAGGGGTCCAGACTATTGTAGCCCCCCTCCCCCACTTTCACTGCATGCAAACAGAGCAGAAGTCTTTCCCTTTGCACCCTTCACTGGCACAGAAAAAAAAAGTGGGGGAAGTTTTGATAAGGAAACTGCTTGAATGGGAAAGTCAATTCCTATTCCTATGTGGGGTAAGATAAAGAAAGGACGGGGTGGCTAAATGAGGTTTTGCTGTTTTAAAATATTTCCCTTTATTCCTTCTCTTCCCTGTGTCCATTGGTTTGACAGCATGCCCTTAGTTGGGTGAAAAAAAATGATTATACAAATTAACAAGATCAACAAGTAGTCTTGAGACACCTAAAAGTCTAACTAGTTTTATTCAGAACAAGCTTTCATGGATCGTAGCCTACTTCATCTGGGGGTTGGTTGGTTGGTTGGTTGGTTGGTTGGTTGGTTGGTTGGTTGGTTGGTTGGTTGGTTGGTTGGTTGGTTGGTTGGTTGGTTGGTTGGTTGGTTGGTTGGTTGGTTGGTTGGTTGGTTGGTTGGTTGGTTGGTTGGTTGGTTGGTTGGTTGGTTGGTTGGTTGGTTGGTTGGTTGGTTGGTTGGTTGGTTGGTTGGTTGGTTGGTTGGTTGGTTGGTTGGTTGGTTGGTTGGTTGGTTGGTTGGTTGGTTGGTTGGTTGGTTGGTTGGTTGGTTGGTTGGTTGGACTAAATGGAGCAAAAGCTTGTGTCAAATAAAACTGGTTAGACTTCAGGATATTCTTTGCTGGTTTGACTGCATCTGATTTTTACAGAGCCATGACTAGCAATTTGGGCGTTCAGTACAAGCTGTATTCCAATGCCACCCACTCCTTTCAGAGGGAGGGGAGCAAGCTGCCATGAAAAAGGATGGGAATGTTATATCCCTGCAAAAAAAGAGAAGAAAGTGAAGGCTTTCAGAAAGAGAAACGTGAATGGGGCTGGCAGGGATTGCAGTTTACTTAATGGTTCCTAACATTTACCTCCAAAATTGGTCTCCCCGGGGCAAAGTTCCGGCTGCTCCATCCTAGCTAAAACCCTGGATTTTTAGTATGAAAGCTTCACACGTCTTCAGTAGTTTGCTTTGTTTCTCAACCCTTAATCTAAATATCAGGTTAATGGTTTTTAATATGATATTTATATAGTTTAAAAAAATGTGTTTGTTTCATAGCAAACCAACCAATAAACCCTGAGTGGTTCTCCCCATCTCTCCCAGGTGTCAACTGCCAGGCCCGTCGGCAGCAGTCCCGTCGCTCCCGGGCTGCCTCAGGAGGCCACGTCACCCCCAAAGAGAGGGCAGACAACCTGTCGCTCCGCCGCAGCATCAGTGAGATGAACCTCAGCACCAAACGCCGCAGGGACCGCAAAGGGGTGCTCAGCATGGCAGCTGGGGAACCGGCGGAAGGGGGGCCCTCCGACGACTCCCGGGTCAAGGCATCGGCGAGTGCCGAGGGCCCACCGGCTCCACCCACCTCTGAAGAAGACGCCATGGAAGGAGCTAACCTGGAGCAGCTCACCCAGTGCCTCATCCAGCCACCCACAGAGCATCCCTATTTCCTGCAGTTGCTGGGCTATAATGAAAAACAGGTAGGGCCCAGACATTTTTCCACTGAAGGAGTTTCCAGGGAAGGGGGGGAGGTGGACCGGGAGGGGGATTGGGATCCGTCAGCTTTCCTGAACCCACAAGAGCTAGGTTTTCTGCTCCAACTACATTCCTGAGTCAGATGCCTTCTTATTGTTCTCATCCCAGAACCGGTAAAATTTGCAGTGAGGTCTCAGATTGCAGCAGAGACAAAGGATTCCTGTAGTTCAGCTTTTCTCAGCCTGGATAGACTGGATTGCAGCTCCCAGCATCCTCTAAAATTTGCAGTGAGGTCTCAGATTGCAGTAGAGACAAATTCCTATAGTTCAGCTTTTCTCAGCCTGGTAAATGGCACGTGCACTGGATTGCAGCTCCCAGCATCCCCTTGACCAGCATGTCCAGGGGTCAAGGATAGAGATGCGCAAAAAACCTCCAAACCAATGTTTTGCGCTCGTTCCTTTTTCAGCCAAACAGGTGGTTCCAGTGCTCCCCAGCCCCCCTCCCCCAGTATGCACCTACTCAAGAGGGCATCCTGGCTTCCTTGCCCTACTTCCTCCAGGCGCTGGTTCTCAGTCAGCGTCCCCCAGAGGAAGCAGGACTGGAAGCTACTGAACACCTGTCCGGCCAAAAAAGGTTCAGTGGTTCGTGCCCATCTCTAGTCAGGAATCATGATGATGAGACTTCCTGAACAGATGGTTTCTGATTGTGGAAGGGCTAGTTCTTAGAATGTCATATTAACGGGCCAGGAAGACCCAGGTTCAAATCCTCACTCAGCCGTGAAGTTCCCCAGGCAATCTTGGGCTAGTCACTACCTTTCAGCTTCACCTAACTCGCAGGGCTGTTGTGGAGATAAAATTAAGGAGAAGGGCCGAGCCCCTGACTCTCCTTGGTGAAAAATAGGACAGATATGTAACAAATCAATAAATGAAATGCTCTGAGATCGAGCCCCTAAAATGATAACCTGGGCTGCGTTTCCGCCTGGCTCAGGACAGCTTGCCATGAATGATGTTCACTTCTCTGTCCTGCCTTGCTTTGTTCTCTGCCCGCCGCAGGAGTTTGTGATTCACGTGATGACACGTCGGCGACACATTTTCGGGCGCCCTGAACGTCGCCAGGCTCCGGACCCATCCAGCTATGTGGACACGTTCCTGAACGCTCCAGACATCCTGCCCCGCCACTGCTGTGTGGTGTCTTCGGTGCCCCCCGCGGACCCCAGCCAGCCTCGGGGCCCAGCCATGGTGCGGCCTTTCCGGGGAGCCTCAATAACCCACAACGGCGCCCCCCTCCACCGTCAGATGGAATTGGCTCCAGGGGACCTGCTGGGGATGGGCCAGCACTTCCTGTTCATGTACAAGGACCCACGAGCCCCACCGGCCCCTCCGGCCTGGCTGCCCAAGGCCTGGGTGTCCCCAGGGTTAGTGGGAGCCTTAGCGTGCCAGGCCTGTGGCCGGTCCCTGCAGGAGCGGCAGGAGGCCTTCCGAGCCTACCTCAAGAGCCGGGAACCTCAGCTGCGCTACCGGCCTCAGGAACAGGAGGCGCTTCTGGCTGAAATTGTGAAGCTGCAGGAAGCGCCCGGGTGCAAGCTGAGCCCAGCCTTCCTCTTTGGGCTCTGTCTAGAGCATGCAGCTCGAGAACTGGAACCAGGACACCTGCCCAGATTGATAGCCAGGATTGCCCAGCTGGTGAAGGAGGCCGTTTGGGTAAATAACCCTCTATAAGCTTAATTCATGATCTTTGAACCTAATTGGGAGCCTGTATATTAGAACAATTCTCCCCCCACCCCACCCCTTTACTGGTGCTCCTTCTGCAAGTCTGTGTGTCTGTCTAAAATATGGATTCGATATTCAACCATGGCATTTTTTGATTTCATTAAAAACAAAAACAAAGGGGCTGTTCCTTATGGTTGTGGGGAAAAAAATGGAAATGCTTCAGTGCCCCTTCCCTTGCGCTCTTTCTCACTGCTACCTCCTTCCTTAAAAACAATCACCTGAGGAACAGAATACTATGCATATGGAAGAAAATAATGCTTAATTCATAGCCCTTGTTCTGATTTGTCGGTTTGAGCTTCTACGATCCAGAATTTGAAGTGTGCAGACAAGAATGTAGCTAGACAGTGAAGAAATTTGACAGGAAAAAAAAACTGATTCATTTGAAACGTGGTGTTGGAGGATATGTTGGACAAATAATGGGGTTCATATCAAGCGTATAATCCAACTAGAAGAATCAAAGACTATACTGGGGATACAGTACCGTACTTTGGAGATGTCAGGAGAAGGCAAAACTTCTGCTTGAGACTGCCTGCTGAAAACGCTGGATGTGTCCTCTTTAGGAGATTGTAATTCTAATGAAAGGAAATAGGTTTCCTTCTCTGTCAGGACCTCCAGTCACTATAGTAAAGCTTGGAAAAATTACTTTTGGGACTTCAGCTCCCAGTGGCCATTCTGGTTGGGGATTCAAGGAATTACGGTCCAAACAGTAACTTTTTCGAGCATTGCCTCTGTGCACTTCTAGGGAAGGAGTCATAGCTGCTCTGTATGGGGCTCCGTTCCAGCTCAACTAATTTCATTTTCTCCATCTTTTTCTTCCCAGGAGAAGATAAAAGAGATCGGAGATCGGCAATCAGAATAGTAAGTAAATACTGACATTTGCTTCATACTTAGCCTCAGGGAGGCGCTGTTCCCTGTTCTCCTTTTGGAGTCCTTTTAAAATATTGGACAAGTATCCTATTTTTCCATGTATAAGACTATACTTTTGTCTAAAATCTTTAGACTAAAAATTGAAGGTCATCTTATACACGGAAGTAAACTGAGGAGAGAACAAAAACAAGTGGAGGGGAAAGCAGGGATTGAAGTGATCCTGCAGTGCTTTGATCCCTTTCCCTCTACACTTGCTAAGCCTCACTTAGATTTCTCGATTTTGGATTAGAAAAGTGGGGGCGTCTTATACATATGGGTGTTTAATACACGGAAAAATACGGTACTTCGCTACCTTCTGCTTTGCAGGCACCATGCCTCTGAATACCAGTTCCTGGGGAACAACCATGGAAGTGTCCCACTCGTGGGCTTCCAGGACCACCTGGTTCATCCCAGACGTTCCAGCTATACAGTGGAGCCTTGACTTGAGAACTTAATCCGTATTGGAAGGCGGTTCTCAAGTCAAAGAGTCTGTAAGTCAAGTCTCCATTGACCTACAGTGTATTGAAACCTGATTAATCCCGTAACAGGCCGTTTTTGTTCCATTTTGGTTTTTTTCTGGTCTGTAAGTCAAATCTCAGGCTGCAAGTCAAACCTAAATTTTGCGGCCAGAGAAGTCTGTAACTCAAAAAGTCTGTAAGTCAAGCCGTCTGTAAGTCAAGGGTCCACTGTATATGGTTCTAGCAGCACCTGGTTCATCCCAGACGTTCCAGCTATATATGGTTCTAGCGGGTCAGTCATTTGATAGGGGGTGGGAGACCAACAGTACAGTGGGCCCTCCTGGGTGCAAAGGTTGCTGGGAATTGTAGTCTCACCGCCTATTTAGGCTCTATAGAGGCTGCCTCCAGAAGAGGTAGGATTCCTAGAGTTGTGACTCCCAGGTAGCTCTGCAGCAGCTTCTTTGTTTGTAAAAGTAGAAGTGGGCCAGAGATAGAGCCCCTTCCAGTTTTGCAGTTCTAGGATTATTTTTAATTCTGACTGTGGAATTCCTGGAGAATTCCAGCAGCTGGGGTTCAAAAATACCAAAGCGCACCCCCCCTGCACAGTACTTGAGTAGGAAATGCATTTCCTCCGTGACATAGCGATACAGTGCTACGAAAAAGCAACACCACCACAGATGTTTCATTTTACAGGAAGGTCATTTAGTCTACCTGAAGAATGAGTAACAACATAACCTTTGCTGTGTTGAAAATTCGTTGTCTAGAAAAGTTTTTTAAAAATATACAAAGACGAAGCAATAACTTACCAAATAACACCATCATGCTTGGTACAGCAGTAACATTGCTGATGTGGGACGAAAAATGCTACCACACAAGTAAGTTACTGTTTTGTACTACCACTCCCCCCAGAATCCACTGGTCTGCATGTCCGGTGGCCTTGCTTGATAGAGGATTCTGGGACTTCTAGTCCAAACACATTACTTTTCCAAGCTTTTAAAAGTAACAAAGTAGAAAAGCTACACCTGCCATGTCCTTTTGGCAGTAAAGTTCACAAACATCAAGAGACTCTGAACTTAGTGTGAACTCTCAAAATTTGTGGAATGGCTTGAATTCAAAATATCCAGCCCAGCTGCCATTTTAATGCCCGACTGGGAACCAGCTGCCTTTCCATGGCAGGTGAGAGCACCCTCTGTCACACAGCATTAATCTCTCTCTCTGCTCTGTCTGGTGATCCTTGCAGCCAGCAGGACAAAGGAGAATCAGGAAATCTCAGCGTGGAGGAAGTGGCATCTGACCTGCGCCCCCTCATGCTCTGGATGGCCAACTCGATGGAGTTGCTCAACTTGGTGCAAAAGAGAGTCCTGGACATTGAGAAAGATCTGGACTTGGAGGGTGAGCCAGAAAACCTGTTTTCTCTGGGCCTCGAAGCTAAGGGTGGGTGGGGGGCAATGGGTAATGTCAGGCCAATAAGGATACTATACTTGCATTCCCTAAGAAGCACATCTGAATTAGAGCTAGAGAATATTGTTTTGGGGACTTCACCCTCTACAGTTCTCTGGTCAGTATGGATTCTGGAAATTGTAGCCATAGCCCCCAAAAATCCAACAAAAGTAACTTCTCCCTGTTTCTGAATTCAGAGCAGAGACACAAGAAGACAGTGGAGTATGATGAAGATTGTTGGGCAAGGAAGTGAGGATCTAGAATTCCTGGGATCTCTAGAAAGAGCAAGGATCAGATCTTATGCCTTCTTTGTGGTGCTTCAGAGTCCAGATTATTACCAATTAGGCTTTGTACCAATTTAGGAGGAAGGTTGGTGTCTCCCAAAAAACCCCCAGGAATTCTACTCTGAGGATCTTGCTTAAAGGACAAATCAGAAAACAACAGTTCCCAGGGTTCCTACTAGAGAGTAAATCTCAGTGAAGCCCGTTTAACTGCCTGTTGAAAATAATGGCCTTAGACGTTTTCTTTTCTTTCTTTCTTTTTCCCTTTCCCTTTCCTCTTCCATTCTGCAGGAGCTTCCCACAATGCATTGCTCTCCAGTGACCTGGAGACCTGTGATGAAGCGATGGCTGCCTTGGATGAAGTCATCATGTCCACTTTCCAGCAGTCTGTGTACTACCTCACTAAGGTGAGTGAGCACCTCTCCCCCCCCCCCTCCCCCCCACCCCGGGGAAAAGAGCTTGCTTTTAATAGAAACTTGTACATGGGACTTGGAACTGCAGATCTGGAAAGGGGCCACAGAGATCACTGAGTCCAATCCCTGCCAAGGAGGTACAGTGGGGGAATCAAACTCCCAACCTCTGGCTCCACAGCCAGATGCCTTCTTAAGCCACTGAGATAACCAGCAGTTCGCTCCCTACTTGTCCTTTGTTGCCTGCTCTCTAGATAACAGTCTGTGCTTCTTAATTTTTCCCCCTTTCCTAGCAGACTCTCTATTCAGCCCTTCCTGCCTTGCTAGACAGTAATCCCTTTACAACAACGGCTGACCTGTCCCATGTGCCTGAGCTCAGCAGCATGCCCGAAGGAATCCGTGGGACCCTCGCCATCTACCAGGCCACCCTTGAGCTGACCCGCGACTGTGACCTGCACCCTGATCTCGTCTCGCAGACCTTTGGCTACCTTTTCTTCTTCTCCAATGCCTCGCTCTTTAACACCCTTATGGAGAGAGGTGGGTCTGCAAGAAGGGCCTGACAGTGGAAATGAAAGCAAATTAGGGAGAAGAGAGGTGGGTGGGACCTGGAAGAAAAACCCTGCAGGGTTGGTTGGTTGATTTGTGGAAGGAGAATCTTTCTTCTCCACAGAATACATAGGACAGGAGGACTCTGCCCCAAGTAACTTACAATATAACACATCTACATGGGAGAAACAAGGAAGGAAGGAACAGAAAATGGAGGTGAGGCTAACCTGGGTTCCAAATGTAAGGGGCAGCCAAGTCAGAATCACTTGAGGAACTTGGAAAGCTTTGGTCTGTTGAAGGCCAGACTATATACAGTGGTGCCCCGCATAGCAATGATAATCCGTGCAGCAAAAATAGTCGCTATACGGATTCGTCGCTATGCAGGAAAAAAAGCCCATAGGAATGCATTAAAACCCATTTAATGCATTCCTATGGGCAAAAAACTCACCTTAAAGCAAAAATCCTCCATACGGCGGCCATTTTCGCTGCCCGGTAAGCGAGGAATCTGGGCAAAAATACAACGGGCGGCCGTTTTATTTACCCGGTGGCCATTTTGGAACTGCCGATCAGCTGTTCTAAAATCATCGCTATGCGAAAATTGGTAAGCGAAACAGTTTACCGATCATCGCAAAGCGATTTTTTACCATTTAAATCATCGCAATGCGATCGCTTTTGCGATCGCAAAAAATCGTCGCTATGCAGCTTCGTCGTTAACCAAAACGCTCGTTAAGCGAGGCACCACTGTATATACATTACAGAAAATCAGTCATTAGAAGGGAAATCATGTTAGTATTCCAGAGAGGTGATTTTACACATCCCCAGGATGCAGTCAGACAGAAATATACCATACTTTTCTGTGTATAAAATGACACTTTTCCCTAAAATAATTAAGATGAAAAATTAAGGGTCATTTTATACACAAAAGTAAGGAGTGGTGGTGGGACACTTTTCCCTAAAATAATTAGAGGAAACATTAAGGGTCGTTTTATACACAAAAGTAAGGAGTGGGGGGGGGAAGGGATCAAAGTGCTTTGATCCCTGCCTTTCCCCTCGACCTTCTTGCAATGAAAGAAATTTTGGTTAGAAAAGGAGTGTGTGTCTTACACATGGGGGTGTCTTATACATGGAAAAATACGGTAGCTTATGTTTTGGACCTCTTAAGGCACCGTCCAGTGAAAGATGTTTTCCACTGGTCAGTCCAGACTTTTTTGGTCCAGCAGTAGGGCTACTCTTTTTGGAACTGGGCTGGAGTGATTCCTGAATGCACAGAAGTGTCACTTAAAGGCAGATCGTTCCTAGGAAAGCAAACTTTTACAGTGTGATCAGACATGATCCTTCATCACCATCTCGTTGCAACTTGAGAAACAGAGACAATCATATCATCTCTGCAGTTAAAAAGTCCCCTATTTTGATGTCAGGTTGCCTTCATTTTATAGTTCACCTCCCGCCCAAAGAGTCACAAGTGGGGGAGCTGCAGGGATAAAGGTGTTGTATTATATAGATATTCTCTGGAGTACGAATGGAATCTGGAAAGGTCGATCAGGAAGTATGGAATTGCTGGTCTCCTGGGTTGTATGGAAAAGGCCTGAGAGTTGGATAGAACTGAGAACTGCCAGGATCAAAGCGCCTGGGTTCTCCGAATAGGGTGTGGCTTGTAATATGGGCTACATCTGAATGTTTGCACAGTAAAGCTTAAATCATATTTTAGATATATTTGGGTGGTTGATGCAGAATAAAAAGCAAGAGTAAATATGCTTGTCTTTTGAGTCCGTTCTCCAGAGTTTGGTAAAGTATACTTTTCAGATCCTCGACAGCCATTCTGCAAGTTGCTAGCCCCCAAAAGGAGCTTTTCCAGCCTCCAGCATTCCAGAAACAAGAGGATTTACATTCAGATTGCAAACTAGCAGTGGCAAGAACCTCCTTCAAGAGAATACAGAAAAAAAAGATTCAAGAGGAGTCAGAGAGAATGAGAATTCTCCCCGATTCTGCTCTTCATGCTGCCTTGCCAGTGAAAAGAAACAAATCTCTTTTTTTTCCATCTCCCCCTCCCCCCTGTTTCCTCCTATTTTTTCTTCTGGCCTCTGGTGGAAGCTGTCTGTTTCCTGCCTATCCTTGAGTTCAGGGCTGCCCCGGAGCAGGACAGGAAATAAGCAGGCCAGGCTGCAGCTGCGCCCTCCTTTGGCATTTGCAGAGCCCGGTGGGTGGGTGGGTGGAGTCCCAGGACTGAGCACCGGACACAGACAACTGGGATCAAAAGAGGCATCAGTCTAGATCCTGGAAAAGTTCCTTAAAAAAAAAAAAAACCACAACTCCCAGAATCACTCAGGCAGGTGGGGATTCTAGGAACCCATAAGCTATATTTCTCAAAACCTCTTTTTTTTCTTTCCTAGGTGGTTCTCAGGCCCTGTTCCTTTGGGCCAAAGCAGTGCAGATCCGAACCAACCTGGACCTGGTACTGGACTGGCTGCAAGGGGTGGGCCTCGGGGACATTGCCACCGAATTCTTCCGCAAGCTCAGCACGACAACCAACCTGCTCTGCGTCCCCAAAAGCAGCTTGCTTCAGGTGAACAAGCCGGTCTTTCCACTGACTTTCAGCTTCAGAAGGCAGCTGGCGGCAGCTTCGTTCCTGGGTTCCCCCATACGGAGAGTCAGCTTTGGGCACAGCTGGCTAAAAAGATAGCCAGAGGAAATATCGGAAGTGTGCTGAATAATGTTGTTTGGTTCTTTAAAAACACAACATTTTGGGTCTAGTGTAGTGATCCTGAGATAAGGGACATACCTGAGTGTTTTTCTGATTTCACACAAGGAACGAGTTTGCAGTTGTATTCAGAATACAGCTTGTTAAGAATATCAGCTTTCCTTTAAAAAAAACAGCAGCAACAAGAAGTTTCTATCCCTCATGGCAGTAAAAACAAAAGGAGCTCATGTCTACACTTACTCTTTTGGAGTGGGCTTGTACAGATTGCTTGGGGTCATGCTGGCTAGAGAGGATGGGGTTTGCAGCCCCACAACATCTGGAGGACCAAACTTTCCATGCCTATGACAGAATCAATGGATCAAACAAAACTGCAATTTCAGAACTGCTTTCTTTAAAACAGGGTAGCAGTTCTCCTTTCTATCTGTGCAAAGTTAGCATTTTCTGGAAGAGGTGGGCATAGTCTGCCATTGCGCCAAGAAGGAATGCACTTTGGGGCGGAGATGGAGAAATTTGGGGTTTTTTTTTTTTGGTATATACTTCCAGCACACCCCAGATTGGATGGCTGTAGTTGTGGCTAATGAATGAATGAATGAATGAATTTTCCCATCTCTGGCTCAAGAGCTTTTTTTTCCTGGATTGCTATACTAACTGCTCTACTGCTCTGTTTTGTCTACCCGCAGGCAACCTGGTCGCGCTTGAGGAACGACTATCCAGCACTGACCCCAGCCCAGCTCCATCATGTGCTGAGGAATTACCAGCTGGGACCCGGCCGGGTGCCCCCCGAGGGCTGGAACTCTCCAGACAACGAAAGAGATGAGATTGCGCACAGTAAGTCAGGGGGCCTTTTTCCTCCCAGCTGACACTGCTTCTGTTTGCTCTCCATCTTAAGACGTCTGGCAGGGTTTCTGTGCCTTCAGCAGCCCCCTGGCAGGTAGAAATTAAGCAGGTGGAGCATTACCTTTTATTCCTGGCTATATCTGTGCTAAGAAAAATACTCCATCCTTCTTCAAGCTGACTCTCTCCCTAGTTTTGCCCTAGTCTTGACAGCGAAACCCACGACATAGAACATGAATGGAATTGGGGCATGAAATGGGGTCTTCTGCCTCATCTCATATATCTTTACCCAGAAGACCAACCAAAAAGAAAAAAAGCGATATCATCTGTGTACATAATGCAAAGGCAAGAGTTGTGGGTACCTTTATTAGACCACTAAAAATTAGGAAATGTGAACAATGCTATAGTTAGGTTAGAGAGACTGATGCCTAGGAACTCCCTATCTGTGAATGGAGAGAAGAGGTCAGGAGGGAAAAGTCATAGGAGATTGTACAGTGGTACCTTGCAAGACGGTTCCCCCACAAAACGACGAATCCGCATGACCACGAGGTTTTGCGACCGCCATTGCGCTTCCCAAAACTGTTTCCTATGGGTGATTTTTTCGCTATACGACATTTCGGTCCATGCTTCGCAAGACGTTTCCCCCCCCGGGTCCGATGCTTCGCAAGACAACAATTTTTACAGCTGATCGTCGCCTCCTCAAAATGGCTTCCCTATGGGCAGTCTTCACAAAATGGGTGTTTTCGGGACCGATGCTTCGCAAGACAGCGATTTTTACAGCTGATCGGCGCCTCGCAAAATGGCTTCCCTATGGGCGATTTTCACAAAACGACGACTGTTTTCCCCGTTGGAATGCATTAAACGGATTTCAATGCATTCCAATGAGGAAACACTTTTCGCAAGACGATGTTTTCGCTAAACAGTGATTTCCATGGAACGGATTATCATCGTCGTGCAGGGCACCACTGTAGTCCAAAAAGGGGGAATATCTTAACTCTGGATTTTAATTGAGGGAGGGGCTCCATGTTTTGTATAGAAGGACCACAATATCCATGGGGATTTGTTTTCAAGATCCCTCCTCAGATGCCAGAAAAAGTGAATGCTATTCATAGCATGGTCTCTCACTCCCTCTAGTGGCTGGTTCTGGTAAATACACCATGGACCTAGGTATAAATAAATACTACGTATTTCTGTGTTTTTTATTTTAGTATTTTCAGGCAGTGGATAAGTGAATTTGTGGATGCTGATCCAGAATGGGGGGGGTTTTCTACTGTATCTATTAAAGTGGAGAGTATCTTGATAACTGTGAGTATCAACACCACTATTTACAAAAGTATATTTTCCCCCAGGTGACATATTCGAGAGTTTCACAGATCACCCACCACTGATTCTTCCGTGTGATGGTTTCCACTTGCGTCTTTCAGAACCTGTGTCTGACGACACCCTCCATCGCCAACTTGTGCGCCTCCGCCGTTTTCTTTGGGAGCTGGAGCGTGAATCTCTCCCAGCCAATCAAAGGGCAGTGTACGGGTTGGATCCCAGCCAATGAGATGTGACACACAGGCTGATGTTCAGCATAGATCTTGGTCCTCAGGAATATTTTTCCAGAACATTCCCCAGCAGACAGATAGAGCCCCCAAAACTTTATAGGGAATAGATCACCTAAAACAGTTATTGCATGTGTGGATTGCCCTGAAGGTCATAACAACAGGCGAGATCCCAAAACATGGCTGTTGCAACCTCGTCTATTTTGCAACCGACTACTTCAGGAAACCATCCAGAAATTTATTTGAAAGATCGCAAACTCGTGAGTGGCCATTCTCTTTTTGCTGTTTGTAGAAAGCTATATATTCCTTTCTTTGCTGCAATAAACTTATTAATTGTGATGAAGAAATCCAATTTCTTTTTTTCACTTTGAAGTCAAGCCTCTATGAGAACAGATGTTGGTGCTGCGAGGAGAAAGATAAGGAGGAATAGGAGTGAAAAGAAATCCTTGATTTTTTTCCAAATTGAGGAGGGCATGAGAGAGAGAGAGAGAGAGACTGTGTGTGTATGCGAGAGAGAGGAGCAATTCATAGCCAAGATACTTGAGATTTCTCTGGTGTCTTCAGTATTGGCTTAGCTGTCTCTAATGTCACTTTAGGATGTTCCTCTTCAGTATATTGACCTCTTTGTGTGTGTGGTGTGTCTGTGCGTGTGTAACACAGGAGGACTTTGATAAATTTTTGGTGTCTTAGTATAAGGCCTATCTATCTCTGGAGCATGACTTCTTGGTATCTTGATGTGTGAACGTGAGTTAAAAAAAATCACTGGGATGTGCAGCCAGTGTTGGGAGCCACAACTTGAAGGGGGTCTCTGGAGCCTTCCATACAGGCCTAGCTATCTCTGGGACGTGCTTCTTTTCCATTGTCCCAGACCACAAGTGCTATCTTTGTCAGCAGCGTCAGGCTTACGGCTGCTCCTGGAATTAATCTCCGAAATATGAGCCCGGGAAAGACCTATGAGCTCATTTTCCTAACTCCCTGACCACCCCTCCTCCCCAGTGCAACATTTGGAGCTTCCAGCAAAGGAATGGAGGTCCAAGGATATCACGGCCAAGGCGTGAGAATTCGGCACCATTCACCTGAGAGGCTGCTGAAGGGGGAGCCAAGGGCAAGGAAAAGAGGAGAAGCGCTCGGCCTACGTAAGCAAAGACTTTTAGCTCTGAATCAAGAGGCACTTATTTCTAAACTGCTCCCCTGTGAGGCACAGCGATAGATACTGCTGCACGCACACCCCGGTCCCTGGAGAGACCAGCTAGCTGGGCTAAAGCAAGGAGTACACAAGGGTGACTCCTCTCTAATGAGGAAAGAGCTAAATCTAAACATGTTGTGCCAGATCCAAAGGATGCTTATGTGTGTAAATCAGCCACTCGTTTTCTCTAAAATAAACACTAGCAGGGTCTAGAAAGGAGTTGTGATCTTTGTGTGTGTCTGAGATAGCAAGAGGGCAAAAAGTGGGGATGTCGATGGGTGTATGCCCTTTCCTTGGAAAACCTGGGCGGGGGGGCGCATTGGACTAATCCCTCTAAGGACCCATCCCCTAGGCAGTGACCCATGTAGGCTGGAGGATTCTGGGAACTTGAATCCAAGCAAGTAGCTTTTCCAAGTTCTGGTTTTCTCTTAGGGGGAACAAAATGTATTATGAGATGCGACCCAAGTCTCGTAGAAAGCCTGTACATATTGCAAAGACAGACAGAAATCTCTTCCTCTCTGGCCAATACACACTGCACACTGGTTTAATGACCACCCTCTGCCTCTCTGCCGCTTTGCCTCTCACACACACATATATTGTGTAATGCACTGTTCCTGCTTCACTCCTTTTTTCCAGTAGAAATGTGTTCTGCATCTTTATGAGGGAAGGGCCCTGTGTTTTGCACAGTCACAGCCAGGAGGGGTCAGTGTTGTTTGTCCATTCACAAAAGTATGTTACCTCCATCAGGGACTCACAAATGCTCAGAAGTTTAGGCAGGGATGCCCCCCCACAGACACACACACTTTTTCTGCATCTGCCCTGCTGGTTGGGTCACACACACACACAACCACACACACACACTTTTTCTGCAACTGCCTTGCTGGTTGGTCTCCCGAGGAAGGTGGGCTGAGGGTGGTGCCAAGGGGGCTGGGCCCAAAGCAAGGGGGCAGGGCAGGGCAGGGAGCATGTCTGACTTTAAATACCTTGGTCCGAATCTGATCCGCCGCGTCAGTGAAATCCAGCGCGGGGCCTGGACGGCTGGCAACAGGTGACACCTGTCGTGTGAAGAAACACTCCCCGTGGCCCAACAGCAGCCACTGGGAAAGGGCAAAGGGGACCCAGGGAGTACCCACCTCTATTACTCTGGTCTTTTCCATTATCTGGTATGAGAAGGGCCCTCTTTTGACTGGTCATCCCCTATAGGGACATGCATCGTGCTGTCCCAGCATTTAAGGCTACCTGGGATCATTTCTGTCCCTACCGCTTCCCTCCTGTGAGAGAGATTCCTGCTCTAAAAATACAACCGAGGATTCCTTTTCAGTGTCAGATCAAGAAAAGAAAAGAAAAAAAGAAAAGGGGCATTTACAACAAAATGCTGCAACATATTTCCACCTGCTACCAGGAGTGTCTATGTTCCAAGAATGAGAATTATGATCCCGGGAATCCCGCAGCCAACATGCCGGCTAAGGAATTCTGGAAACGATGCCCTGAAAAATGGAATCTTTCTCAAACTCTGCATGTATTCAATGTTCTAGCCACTCATGACTTTCTCCACAATATTGTAAACTCACTATAAACCACTGAGAGCTCAAGCGAGGAAATCCACTCTCCTCCTTGCCTGCTTTCTTGTGGGCTTGTCTTATCAGGAAAAAAAAACTTCTTAACTGTTAGAGCAGTGCAACAGTGGAACCAATTGCCTCGGGAGGTGGGGAGTGTTCCCAACGTTGGAGGCATTCAAGAGAAAATTGGACAGCCATCTGTCTGATCTGCTTTGGTTTGGATTCCTGCATTGAGCAGGAGGTTGGATTCAATGGCCTTACAGACTCTTCCAACTTCATGATTCTATGATTCAAATGGATACTCCATTTTCCTTTGCCCCAGGGATCACCAAGTTTGTTTTGAACAGGAGTTTTTGAGGTTTTTTTTAAAAAAAATAAATCTTATTTTGTAATTTTGTGAACCCCAAGTAAAGCGAACACCTTCTGTTTGTATCCAGTAGCTGAGTTTGTGCTCCACTTATCTTGGCCACCGTGGCAGTGAGATTGCTATTAAAGGAGCTGGCTGCATCTGAAAGTGTGCAAAGCACAGGTCCCTTAACGTGTCGTTTAAGCTGAACTTTATTCCTGAACTGCCTCCAAAGTGCTAGGAAGTAACTGCTTCCTAGCACTCAGGAATTGCTTGTGAATTTTTCCCTAGCAAGCACATATATTTCATGCATTTATGTGCTGCTCTTTTGCTTGCTGTGTTTGCGCATCACAAGTCCCTTCCTCCCCCCACAACACACAAGCCACATTGATAAATATCCCATAAATGTGGCAGATCTGTTTTTGTTTCCCCCTCTCCTCCTTTGCCTCCAGTTCTTTTCAGATGTTGTGTATTCTCTGCTTTGGGCATTTGAGAACACACCATCTGCTATAGTTAAAAGGCTAAGCTATTCACAGCTGTGGTCTCCTTTAGCAAGGAGGCAAATGCTGCTCACTTTTATTGCGCTGGGATGGCAATATCAGTGGATAGGGAGAGCACCAATAAAGTTCTTCGCCCAGTTTCACGCAACCCTTCGCTTAAAGAGCGGGGGGAGAGGGAGGAGAACAGAAGAGAAAACTTTAGGAAAATTAAAACAGATGGAGTAATGCACATGGAAGTGGGGAGGACCTTGTACAAATGATCAACTCTGCCAAGAAGGATCTGTCACTCCCCTGGCGGCCTGTTGGGGAGGAAGAGGGTGGGAAGAAGAGAGAGACAGATTGATCCTGCCAAGCCAGCCCTGCTATTAGGCTGAATGAGATGACTAGCTCAAACAACTGTTTTGTGGTATTATGAGAGGATGACAGTAAACTGTCGGTTATTTAATTTATATTTCTTGTATTTGTACCATCAGAAAGGGGAAGAACTGCTTTTGCATTTTTCTGCCCCAGGGGCCAACTTCTCTGGTTTCTGAGTGCCTTGCATGTTGAAAACAGGACTACTGTTTATTGCTCCACCTGAGCCTTAACATCGTGGGCTGCTTTTAACTTTGTGGCCACCCAATTTTCCCTCACTTTCACCTACTACTGGCCCCTGGCAGATATGATCCAAAATGACTGCTGCCTGTGACAAAAGAAAGAAAGAAAGAAAGAAAGAAAGAAAGAAAGAAAGAAAGAAAGAAAGAAAGAAAGAAAGAAAGAAAGAAAGAAATAAAGAAAGAAAGAAAGAAAGAAAGAAAGAAAGAAAGAAAGAAAGAAAGAAAGAAAGAAAGAAAGAAAGAAAGAAAGAAAGAAAGAAAGAAAGAAAGAAAAATATAGAGTCTTACTCATTCCTTAAGGGACAGCATTTTTAAAGGGGTGCAACTGTGTTACTGGCAGAAATGTAGAGTCTTGTGCTACCGTAAAGATTCATGCATGCACTGCTGCACAAACTTTCAGGGGCTACAGCCCACTTCACTGGATGCATGAAGCGTTATCTGGCAACAGTTACCTTCATGGGAAAGAATCTTGGCTTGGAAAGAGTAAGAGCAGCAAGAATTCGCAAGCCATGCAGATCACTTCCAAGGGCGAGAGGCACATGTCTCTCTCTCTCTCTCTCTCTCTCTCTCTGTCTCTCTGTATGTGTGTGTGTATCGAAGAGACATGCTATCACTAATACCTTTCTTTCAAAAACCAGCCCTTGACCAGTAACTGTAAGTTCCCTGTGTGTGTGTGTGTGTGTGTGTGTGTGTGTATCGAAGGGACATGCTATCACTAATACCTTTCTTTCAAAAACCAGCCCTTGACCAGGAACTGTAAGTTCCCAATACAGTGGTGCCTCGCAAGACAAATTTAATTCGTTCCGCGGTTAATGTTGTCTTGAGAAAAATTCATCTTGTGAAATGTGTTTTCCCATAGGAATGCATTGAAATCTAATTAATGCGTTCCTATGGGCAAAAAAAGTCAGAACAAAGTCAAATTTGGTTTACAAAGGGTTTATTAAGTGCTCTTTAAAGCCATACATATTGTGAGGATGATTTTAAAAATTCAATAAAAAAACTCTAACTTTTTAAACATCATAGAAAAACATTTAAAAACCAGCAAACATAAGGCAGGAACAAAAAACGGAAAACATTCTTCTTGCGAAGTACGGCCATAGGAACATTTGTCTTGTGATTCATCAACCCTCATTGCCAAAACCATTTGTCTTACAAGTTTTTTGTCCTGCAAGGCATTTGTCTCACGAGGCACCACTGTATTTCTAACTCAGATAGTCAACAATGTAGTTGAAATAAAATTTCAAGTGCACTGTGATAGCACATCAGCCCTTTGGTTCTGTTCAAGTTCAAACGCAGTAGAATTTAATATTGCATGAAGCAGGCACCCTTGTATCTGTCATGGGTGTTCATTCAACGCCATTTGATGTCACTGAGGGTGTGTTCTCGCAAAGACAGAATTCCTGGGTTTCCTGGAAAAGTCCAAAATGGGGAGCTCGTCTACCAAATGCAGTAGAAAACTTTAAAAGCTGGCTCCTGTCCTTCTGCTGAATGTGGCAGAGGAACATGTGAAACCTCTCCCTATTAGTCAAAGCGCATAGTATTCAATCTGTTGAGGCACAAAATCCCACTCCTGTCTCTGCACTGGAAGTAAAAGGAAAAAGAAAAAGAACGAAGCAGTAGGGCTTCATCTGCTACTTTTCCAGGTCAGCAAAAATCAGCTGTCTGAGGCAGCTGCCTCACTTTGCCAAATGGTAGGGCTGGCCCTGCAAGGCATTCTGGGCAAATGGGGACACGTGACTCTTTTCTAATCAGTCCCTTGGGAAAAGAGGGGGGTTGCTGACTGAAAATGATTCTGAGGAAACAAACGTGTGTGTCTCCTTGGCTGGCTGACTGGGAGCTGATACTCATGGGTGCTGGGAGGCAGGACCCCTTGGTCCCATGGGAAAGAAGTAGGGGGAGAGAGAGAGAGAGAAGGAAAGGATGCTGCAACTTAGGGCTGTTTTATTTGGGGTTTCTTTTGATTGCATTTCCAGTTGGAAACCGCCCAGGGAGTGCTATGCACTATGGGAGCTATAGAAGTCAAATAAACAAACAAACATTTCTCTTTTTTTAAAAAAAAAGTCATGCCATCTTGGTAATGTGTCATTTGGAATTAATTGTTATAATTGTATTTTTTGTGATTTTATACATGTTATATTGATGTGCTTTTATCTATGTAAGC